AGCAGGAAAGCCAGGATTCCAAAACAAGTTGAACTCTAGTGTCTGTGCTCACAAGCAATAACTTAAAACAGTTTTACTTGAGACTAGACTAAAAGTCACAGGAAATTTAGCAGCTCCTGACCAATTCCTAGAGGAACCCAGTTAGAGAAAAATTAGGATACTTTTCCAGAATCTGGATAAGAAAAGAGTGAGTCTACTGGCGTTAGTGACATACTATCTCTTGCCAGACACAGGAAATACCCCACCCAGACATGGGGTGAGAATTCAGGAAAGACCCCACCCAGATGTGGGGTAAGAACTCAGCTTTCTCTCTCTGTGGAATGGCATTAGTCTTCTGCTTCTTTTAAAGACTATGGTTGAAGGTGAACTGAAAAGGAAAGAGTTGTATGACTGCCAGAAGGGAATACCCAGCTCACTGACCAAAGATGACATAAAGTGGGGGAGAAGTCTCAGAAAGCAGAAAGTTTCACCTCTGCTTTCATGCAAGAATGGGAGGTGTCTATAGAAGCACAGTAACCACTGGCTACCCAAGAACCCTGCAAGGTTCTTAAGGGATAGTGTTGGTGGCCTTGGATGGCTGGAAGAAAACACTGAGAGAAGACAACAAAGACAAAAACATCCCCAAAGTGGAATGAGCACCCCAAAAGACAGTGATAAAACTGACCTCATTGGAGAAACTTGTAAAAGCTCATTTTGACTCAATGTGGGCTACTGAGAGGTGTACCATGATGGCAATATGAGTTTGTCTTTTGCAGTATATACATAGGGTTGCTGAGTTTCTTTCCCTTTATCAAGAATGGCTTTGGATACCCGAGGGCCCACTGTTTTCCAGTAAGTTGAGATAGAACTACTGGACCATCCAGGGAAAAATATTCTCAGGCTTCTTGCAGGAGGCTTCAGTCCATACACACCGAACATCCACTTCATGCTCAAGACTACCTTAATCCTGAGCATACCACACAAAATAAAACACAGCTTTTGTCTCTCAGGAGCTTGTGCAGGAGGCATAAAAGGAAAAATTCAATCAATCAATAAAATCAATTGCTATGTAGTAAATTCTAGGAATAGGTCACTTTGGAGCAGGTACTGTACAGAGTAGCCACCAAGTCTGGTGACATCTGCAAATACATAAATAGTATGTTGATATTATATTCTATTAATGTTAGAATAATATCTAACTTTCTATGATCAACTAATATTTTTAGGATTTTAAGAAGGAAATAACATCTCACATGAGACTTGAAGGGCAGGTAGGCCAGAGAGGGCAGAAAACATCTGTGAATCTTTAAATCAATTTAATCTTGATAGAGCAGAATTTGGAGGGGTTGTAGGGCAGGCAGGAATTGATAAACAGTGAGGCTGACCAGAGGAGCAGGGGTCATGTGAAAGCCTTATATCCCCAATTAATAAGTTTGCACTTTATTCTAAAGGGAATGTAAGTTTTCTTACACTTCAGAAAAACAGTTCTGGATGGAAGATAATTGGGAACAAAGTAGGGATGATCACTGGAGACAACTGAGAAGTATTGATTTAGGAATCTAATGCAGTAAATGAAGAACAAAAATAGAAGTAAAGATGGCAAGAAATGGACAGATCTGAGAGATATTAAGGAGGTTCTTTGTAATTATTAAAAATGATTTGATTTCCTCTGAGAATAATGAAGAAGATGGTCTTGAACAAATCTTTGAAATCAACTGTTTTAAGCCATTACAACTTTATTCCTTTTAACCTAAAACTGGAAGAGAAAACAGTACCTTCTTGTAGTATGAGGCTAAGAAATGTATGTGACTTTTAAAAATCTGGTCAACAGTTGGATATTTTAATTAAGGGAAGCACTAAAAATTAATTATTTTAAATCAACAAATTCCTTGTAGCAAAAAAGTGGGGGGACTTCAAAATGTAAAGGATCACCTTCAAAACAGAAACAACACACGAAAATCAACTTTGTGTTGCCAGCTTATATTTCCAATATATTAATCTAAGTATATCAAATGGTTATAAATCTATAGGATACAGATTTGACCAAAGGTATACAATTTATATTGTACAATTATTTAAATCACCTCAATTTAATGACCAGATGGGTTTTGAAATTACCTGAAATTTTAGAGGATATTATAGTGCTCCAACGTAATACTAACTTCAGTACAGAAAAATTTGTTGAATTCAGCTCATTAGTCTGAACTGTTCATCATTATTTGTTCTTACTCCACTTACCTTTTTCCAGTGAAAGTAATACTTCTCCCTCTCTTCTTCCCTACTTCTCTTTTTTCCATGGAGAACACTGAAATGAACTCTAGAATTCCTGGGAGACAGGTATAATCATTTAGTAAAAGGAAAGTGGTACCTACCCTTGTCGGTCCTTGCACATTTTGTTAACTCTTCCCCATTGGAAATCGAGCCGAGAGAGAGCTTCCTGTAGCCTCGCCTTTTCCACCGGTGTGGCACTTTGCAATGCTGCTGCCTTCTTACTGTGAATAACGTCAATCCGACCTGAGATTTGTTTCAGGCTGTCTTTTATATTCTGTAATATTGAAATTTTAAAGCAAGTCAAAAATGATTCAGCTGTCTATGGAAAGAGAAGAAAGGAAATTTATCAACCCCCAAAGTAACTAATGGCCTTGCATTGTTAATCTATTGACTTTTAAAAGTCATTAGCCTTGAAGCCCAGTGATTTCAACATGCCCAACTTCAATGGATAATTCACAGTCCTCATCTTGATACAGGTGATCACTCAACTCCCTCCATCTTAAAACTTTATCTTCATTTGACTTCTGTAACCTGAATTTTTCTGGTTTTTCCTCCACCTTCTTGTCCACTGCTTCTGAGTCTGCTTTACAGAATCCTTCCCATCTTACTAATCTCTTAATATTGGAGTGCTCTAGCTTAGTTCTGACACCTTTCCTTGTCTATCTATATTACCTCTTATTTGGTCCCATGACTGTAAATAATCTCTATATGACAATGACTCTCAAACTTACATCTCCAGCCCTGACCTCAAGTCTGAAATCCAGACTCACATATCTAGGTACTTTCTTGACACTTGGATGTCTCATGAGTATCTCAACCTTAGCATAACCACATTCTGAACTGCATCCCCGTATCCTTCTCTTCCCATGGTTTTCTCTCCTTTGGTAAATGACATATCAATTGATAGTTATTCAGGCTGACAATCTTGCAATCATCCTTGGCATTTCTTTTTTAATCTCCAGTATTCAAATTGTTGGACAATCTTGTTGGCTCTACTTCTAGAACATGTCCAGAATTTGACCACTTCTCGTTATCTCCCTTGCTATTGCTCTGATGATATAAGTTATCCTTATATCTCACCTAGATTATCACAATAGCAACCTAAATGATCCTCCTGCTTCCAGTCTTGCCCCTCTCCCAGTCAATTCTCCACACAACAGCCAAAGAAATTCTTATAAAACATAAATCAAATCATATTAATTCTCTTCTCAAAACCCTCCAATGGCTCCTCATCAAACCCATAGTCTTTTTTTTTTTTTGGCCCAGATGCCCGACTCGTGGGATCTTAGTTCCCCAACTAGGGATTGAACCCGCGCCCAGCAGTGGAAGCGACGAGTCCTAACCACTGGACCGCCAGGGAATTCCTAACCCATAGTCTTTATCATGGCCTACAAATCTCTACATAGCTTGTCTGTACGCTGCCTGACATTATAATCTTATTTTTTCCTTATTCTGCTTTTTCTGTCCTCTCTGCCAAAAATGCTCTTTCCCTCCAAGACACTTATATGGCTGTTTTCCTCACTTCCTTCTCATCTCAGAAGAGCCTTATCTACTGTTCCATTTTAAGTAGCAGCCCCAACTGCTCTGTATTCCCTGTATTGTTCATTTTTCTTCATGGCACTTATGACTAACATGAAATTACACAACTACTGGTTTCTCTACATCACTAGACTAGATCCTATGAGTGCAGGGACGTTATCTGTCTTGCTCTCTATTGGGTTTCCAGAGCTCAAACCTGTGCCTGGCACATGGTAGGTACCCAGTGCATTTGTGTTGAATAAGTGAAAGTATCTCAAAATTTAACTCCATAATTTTAAAGTCTAGATTATATTTAAGGGGAAAATACACAATGCCATTAAGTAATAAAAATCTTTTAAAATATTAATGTTCAAAAAATGCTAAAAACTTACATATTTGTCTAGTCTTACAAATGTGAATTTGGTTATTTTGCTCATCTGACTTGTCAAAGACAAGTCAATTGAGTAAACATTTATTGAGCTCTTTCAGGACCAATACAGAGAAAGCAAAGGTAGGTGAAGCACAGTTTTATTTGTTTCGAAGAAGTTTTAAATTGATCTCATTGAGGTAGTAAGGGAGGATGTGGTTTGGAAACTGAAGGAAACAATTATAGTTTAGAAGTCCCAGTTAAATGATGAGAAATTATTTGATGAGTGGTCTAAGTGGTACCAAATCTTTTCTCAAAGTTCAGAAAAGGAATGAATCATATATCATATATGGTCACAAGCCAAGAAAAGGGCTCATAAAGAAAGTGCAATTTGGGGTAAACACAGCTGAGTAGCTGAAGTGGAAAGGACATCATACTTAGTAGGTAACACACATGCAAAGACAGGGAACATGAGTAGCTGTATACGACTGACATTTCAGAAATGTACAGGATCAGGGAAGATGGGTCAGAAAACAGAAGCTGGAGATGATTAATAATGTGCTTTAAAATACTGCATGTAATTCAGTAGACAGTGGGGAACCATGACGTGTGTGTGTGTGTGTGTGTGTGTGTGTGTGTGTGTATTAATTTCAAATATATACAAAGGCAGAAAAGGAAAAAAGGAAAGTAGTACAAACAGCCCCCATGAGCCCATTATCCAGTGCCAACACTTATGAAACCATGGACAATTTTGTTTCATTATATTTCCACTCATTCACCTCCTCAACTGGATTATTTTGAAACAAATTGATATATTATCCATAAATACTTCAGCATGTTTCCAATATACGTGAATTGTTTTCAAGGAAAGTACACATAATACCATATCCTACATCTAAAAACTTTAAAGTGTTATTAATGTAATCAAATATCTAGTTGTCCTTCATAATTGAGTTGAATTAAGAAAGTTGTTTAGGAAGGAAACTTGGCAGAATTCAGTGACTGTTTGTTGGGTGAAGAAGAGGAAAGACTTGAATAACTCCCAGGTTTCTTGCCTGAGCATCCGGATGAATACTGATATCTGAGTAAAAGGATTTCAGATGGATGAACAGGTTCTGTGTGCACATGCATTTGTGTGTGTGTGTGTGTGTGTGTGTAACAGATGATTTCCTTCTGGACACATATTATGAAGCCTTTGGGTTGTCAGACAATAGACATTCAATAGGCAGTTGGCAACAGACTTTGAGAATATGAATGAGATGGCAAATATCGTTGGGCCATACGTATTCTCACATTTCCACACGGTCTGGCCTTTCTGAGCAAAGAACATTGGCATCTGGGTTAGAGGATAATTGAATAGCAAACATACCTTGGTGTTTAGATTAGTGCATTTTTCCAGGGAGACTCAGAAGCTTATCTTTCTTGGATCCCTTTGCTTACATTCCAACTTACATTCTGAGGATAACAGACCTAGACCTTCCCCTCTCTCTGGAGAGGATGTGTTTACATTCCAGAGCAAAGGTCTCTCTCTGTCTCTCTCTTCCCGCCTCTCTCTCCCCTCACCCACCCAAGTCCCTCCATGTCTGTCTTTCTGTCTGTCTGTCTCTATCAGATGTGCCAAATCCTTTATATAAGCTCTAATGTTTATAATGTTGGGGTTTCTCTCTTGTACATCTGACCCCCCTCACTGCACGTCTCATGGGGATTTGAGTAATTAGTGAGATGTTCTCTGACCCAGAGATCACATGCTTCCTGTCAGGATAAATAAATACAGTTGACCCTTGAATAAAATAAGGGTTAATCTGTATAATTTACAGTTGGCCCTCCACATCTGTGGTTCCTCCGCATCCGCGGATTCACCCAACCATGGATTGTATAGCACTGTAGTATTTACTGTGGAAAAATATCCACATGTAAGTGGATCCATGAAGTTCAAACCCATGTTGTTCAAGGGTGAACTGTATAAATATAAAAACTTAACAGGTATCAATAAAATGAACATATTTGCTGACTTGCAGGCAAAATTGGGGTGGTTCAACCATGTGTGAGATGGAGACTAGGCAGATACGGGGTGCCTGTTGCTAAGCCTGCAGCTTCCCAGGTTGGCTCTAAAGCAAACTCCTTTGGGCAGCAGGAGAGAAGTCATGGGTAGATCTTAGGGAGCTTTCCTGCCTCATTCTAAGACTTTATGACTGTGGTACATGAGGACTTGTCTTGGGGGAAGATTAATCTATAGAATCTTGTGAGGATATAGATAATGTCGGTTGTAAGGGGCAAAAGTCAGTGCTTACAATGGGACCCTGAGGAAAGCAGCTGTGTGCCCAGGTCTTCAAATCAGCTAGACACAATGGTTATGGGTGATGTGAGTGAATTTCAGCGAGAGAGAGAGAGAGAGAGAGAGAGAGAAAGAGAGAGAGAGAGATTGTTTATAAAATTCCAAGGTGTTGTCTTCAAGCCCATGAACACCTTGCGATTAGAAGGTTTTATTATTTTTTTGTTAAGCAACTCAATTTAACTCTGTGGTCAGAATATGTATCTAACAAGTATTACCATGTGAGAGAAAGGAAGGCATGCCAACACAGAAATATCCTGTGAGATTCCTTATCTGGAGAAATGCAGGTTAAAATTGTCTTCTGCCAGTGTTACAGAATTGCTAGTCAGTGGAATATAGTAGGTGTTGTTTCATTACAGGAGAGATGGTCAAATTGCTCAGAAACTTTTGTTAGAGTGAAAGCGTGAGAAGAAAATTTGCCTAACGATGACCCTTTATGGAAAGCAGAGGTCGAGGTTGGAGATGAATATGTCTGAAGAGTAGATCTCATCAGACCTTGGAGAAGAACCAGAAGAGTAAAATATTTTAAAACTAAAGGGAGAATGAATATCAGGAAGGAGGGAGGGAGGGAGCCACCAACAAGTCAAATGCATCTAGGAACAGGAGTAAAAAGTCAACTGTGGATATTTAGGAGGTGACTGGTGATCTTATCAAGAGCAATCTCAGCATATTGAAAGTATGGAAATGTAAATCTGGACAGAGAAGACTGTCTTCCACTGTCAACCTCTTTCACTACAAAATTGAAAATAGCTTAGTACTACACTATGGTTTGCTTTATTTGACATAAGACACTTCTTTATGGAGGAAAAGTTTACTACAAATAAAAACAAAACTGAGAATATAACAAAAATTTTTAAAAAGACAGAATGGATCTTGTATATGTTATCAATGTCCTAGAAGTCCCTTCACTCAAGCAAACCTCTTATATTAGTTCTTTCTTTTATCCACCTGGCAAAATTTCATTACCATCTCCTGATGGCTCTGAGACTAGAGTCTTGGGTGGAATATTTAGGGCTACCCCACTAGCTGGATTAGGTCAGGTGCACAAACATGACTT